GAGCTTCATGTTATATAAGTTGTAATGACTTAATGAACCTTTCGGATGCACATGCAAGGCTCCAGCTGAATATTACCACCATGAATCACAACAGTTTCGTGGCTGCAGAGGCTGCATGGATCATCCTCTCCTTCGCAGCCTCACCTTCTGCTCATGAAAGCGAGGAACATGGAGAAAATGTACCGGGCAAGCTTTAGCAAATCGCTCATGTTCTCATTACAGGAACAGACAGCTTTTATGGAGGAGTCTTTCTGCTTTCCCCTAGGCACCGTGAGAGACAGCAAAACAAAGTAGCCCACAGATAGGGCAGCCTGGAAAGTCAGAATAAGCCTGGACTTGGAGCCAAAGCTCCACTAGACAGCAGGGTGATGGAAGAGGGGTTCCACGGTCGGGACCCATTTTATTCCCTTTCCGCACATGTATTGTGGTCACCCATTGACCCCACTCACTGGAACACCTTCCCCGAGAGACATAAGGCGCTTTGAAACATTACCTTTCTGATCTACTTCAGCATGTCCCAAATCCTAACGTGGAGGCTTCCCAGCTCTATCAGTTTGAATCTTGGCTGCACAGATGAAGCCAGCTTCCAACGGCAAATGAAAATTTGCTGGCTTCTGCGGAAGCTAATGGAAGCACTGAGCAAACAGTCCTGTGTTTCAGAAATAGCAGGGCAAAGAGTGGATTTTATGACTACAAGGACACAACCAGATGATAGAGGTAAACAATATCCATACGGCTGCCTGAAGCGTAAATATGAATCCTACAACTCAACCCATGCCCTTTCTTTCTATTGTCTCTGAGGGGGTTTGTCTTCCTTTCTTGTGTACTCTACAGCAGCAACCTTGCTAAACAATAATTTTATTTGAAGGGGGAAAAAGGGGGAGGGGAAAAAAAAAAAAAAAGCAGAGAGGGCTGCAATGACAGTCTCAGAAAGGAGGTAGAAAATTAGAGTGCAAAACTGCTTATAATGCAGCTGAAACGAACCAAGCATGGTCTCAAGGACACCATGGCAGGTCGGACCCTCGCTGCTGGGTCTGTGCAAGCTGCCAGCAGCCCACTTACCTCCCGGCGGCAGGGAAATCCCTTTGACACCCTGGCCTAGGGCTCCGTTGGCCAAAATGCCAGGTCCGCCTCAGCCGAAGAGGCCTGCACTGTGTTTCAGCTGCTTTGATGGAGCAGCTCAAATTTAAGAAAGAAAATACAAATTAAATGTAGTGGGAGTTGTCTATGATGCCCCCAAGCCTCACAGTTCATTTAACTAGCAAGTTTAATGAAATTTCGTTTCTTAAGTACGCTATTTCAAACACTAGTATTTTTTCTAGTTACTATTCCCATGTGGATTTACTTACTGAGCATCTATACAGGCATGCCACAGTGCCATTTCCTAAGCCAAGCTATACCAAAAATCAGCTGAGTCACTGAAATGAATCCTGGTTCCCTTTAATAATATTACTAACTTAACAGTGTTCACAGCACAAGGCTGGAAGCACATGACATCCCTCTGGCACCGATGTCCACGCTTCTGAGATGGACGAGTGAGCGCAGATGCCACTGTTTAGCTGGGTACTTAAGCACACGTTTATTTGTGTTTGTGGTCAGGAACTTATTAAGCACCCTAAAACATTCGGGCCATAGCGAGACACCAGAAGTTAACCCACCCCAGCAGCTAGCTTAGCCCATAGCCGACTTCTCCAAACTCCCCGCGGCCGGAGCGCGGCAGCCGCTGTGCTGCTTCGCTCCCGACTGGAGCCGTCGGCCGCAGCCAAGGCAGCGAGACGGTCCCAGATGAGCGCTGGAATGAGATTTGACATTTTACTCAGCACTTTACAGGCACTCTGCTGTATAACCCTCCACCACGAGGTGCCTAGAAAGCATTCCTTTGGACACAAAGTGTTTCACCTGCAATATTTCAGCAAGGATATTAAAGCAAGAGCGAAGGAGGCTGATGGGGAACATCACTGCCCTCCCACTCTGTTCTGTAATCTGATTTGGAGCGACATGAATCATTCTGCACCAGGACACCGTAAGGAATCAACATCCCTCCCTGTTAAATATACAGTTTCTAGAAGCATGAGTCACGGCTCAGGTTTCAAGGTGCAATGTGGTATGTAAATCCTTTCTGAGAACTACCTAAGAACACCGCCACATGCAGCTATCATTTAAGGGGTCAAGTCCGGACTTCTGGTTCTGCAGACATCCAGAGAAACCGCAGCCTACAGTGAACCTGCGGAAACTATTTCCCCTCGTTCTGATGTCTGCAAGCTCCTGTGGGCAACAGGCACGAGCCCTCAGCCGGTGGGGTGAGGTTTGGGGACCGGGGCGCTCTGCAGCACTCTGCTGCAGGGGGTTGAGCCCCTCTTTGGTCCCCGTCTGCAGCGCAGGTGAGGGCTTCACCTGGCTGCACCGAGAAACCAACAAAACCACTTCATCTGCACCATAATCTGTGCCAAGGGAGGCAGAGAAAGACAATTACATCTGTTTCCTACCCAGAAATACTAAAGACAAGGCTGGGTTCTCTTTACTTCATAGCAATTAAAGCCTAGTGATTATCCCACTCTTTAAATACTGTGTCTAGACACACACTTTTCACTGCAATTCATACCATATCCGCCTATACCCTATTTCATGCAGATACGCGGATGCTATTTCACACATCCACGAGGAAGTCAGCTGTTAGCGACTGCCATGAAGTCTCATTTAGATTCACTGCGATGTCTGTAATTGCCCCATCGGCAGGGGAACGCTGCTGCACTCTCCGCTATGGCAGCCTCCAGAGGGGGAACGCGCGGGAACGGGCAGGACACAGAGCATCACAGCAACCTACTGGAGAGGAACCGGAGAACAAGAGATGGAGAGAGGGCTCCAACCACACCTTTGCCGAGCACGTTCAGAGAGAGATAAGGGCCTTGGACCCAGTCTGGATGGTACTGCACTTTCTCACTCTTTACAAACAACTTGTAAATTACTGAAAGCAATGGATTCAAGGTGATGGAGAAGACCAGAGCTATCCCCAAAGATGCTGATAGCTGGGAGAAAATACAGAATAAGATTTTTTTCTCCCAGAGTGCACGAGGGATAGTTCTAATTGCTGCATTTCCTCCATCTCCCTTTTCACAGGACTAAACAAACCTCTTTGCTTGCTTAGCGTCGGTCACTCTGGGCAGCTACAAGGATCCCACCAACCAAGCATAACTACACGGTTGCTCGTGTTCCCAGCCTCTCACAGCAGCCAAATTAAGTACACATTTGAACTTCTAACAGCAGAGACCTCAGACACTTCCTCCAGCCATTTCAATACCAGTTCTCCTACTCCTCTCCTCACCATCATCCCCAGACAGTAAAGGCAATTGCAAAACAATGCAGGGGCTTGCTTTGGGATTTTTTTCTTGTTTTCATGGCTTTAAGTATTTTAAGATGTGTAAATATGAAGTCAGGGTCAATGATTTAACCATAATTACGTCTGAAACGTCCCAGTAAGACATACTCTTTGGATTTAGAAAACACCCATTATGTTCCCGAGCACTCCCAAGAGCACAGCCAAGAAGAACGCAGAGCTGGAGAGAGCTGCCTTCTTAGAGGACATGAGGAATCTTGTGAAAATACCGAGTTCATCTCAGTAAGCACAAGAACGAATCAACAAAAGACAATAAAAGCATTAACGTATTGTAGATCCTTAATAGAATTTCCCCAGAGAGAGAAAACCAATAGAGCCTAATGGAAATTTTCTATTCTCAAAACCATTTGCACCGGTTTTGTTTGCAACCAAGAGAGAAGACGAAAACATAAAATCCCAAGTTGCGCTGACTGGAAAATGCGAGGATATTTACTTTTTTCTTGAAGAATAAAATTAAACTGCACCTAAGATGTAAAGTTTTGACCTTAAAAAATATCAAAAAGCTTGCCACAGCCTTACTGACTGCAATAGAAGCAGTGTTCAAGTCTGCACTTGCCCTGGGAACTTAAAGACATCAAAAACCCAAAACCCGTTGGAGCCAAGCACAAGACTTCCTTCCATCCCTTTGGAAAAATCCAAGCTGACATTTCAAATCCTGAAGAACCCTGTGGATTTGAAATACTTTATGAAAAATGCAATTATATAATACAGTAAAATAACACAGCCTGATTTAAGAGGCTAATGCTGTTTTTTTGAGAGAAGGGTCATTTCTTCATCTCAATCTGCTCCCAGCTATACTCATGAAACTGTAAACTGTCGTTTCAGTTTCTCTGTAACTAAGAAAAAGCAGGAGAGCAACAAGATTCATTTACTAAATCACACTGTCTTTGTCTACTGAAAAGCTGCTAAATAGACAAAGAAAAATTTGTGTTAGGTGAATTCTGCCTAGCAACAAGAACTGGATCCAAGCCTGAGAGGGACATATCCCCTAGAGTGGGGTGAGGCTGCAGGGCCATCACCATCCCTGGAACTGGGAAACCTCATCAGGTTCCACCACCTTGAATAACGAGTTTTTTCTTTAAAAAATGTTTAAAGAAGAAATATCTGCCAATAAGACATTTAATTCCACTCTTTGGCAGCTAAAATTCTATTAACCTCCAACATAAGGAGTGACAACACAACTGCCAGTCATACTCCATAATTAGGGAGGGCAACTGAGGGTCAGTATAATGGGACACCTTCAACGTGGCACAACTCAGCAAGGGCAGGGTTAGCACTCACTGCGCCCACGCTGAAAATAAACTTATCTCAAGTTAAGCCAATGATTTCATTTCCCTGGTGAATGAGAGATCTAATTATCAATAATTCACAGGCACAGACAGACATGCAAGTGGTTTTGAGAACTGAAGTAGAAACAGAAGTCATGATTCTTGCAATAAGAGCCAGCCTGTGCAGAGACAGATCCAGAGAGGGGAGAGAAGGTGCACTTTGCATGCACACGTCAAGACTGATCTAATTTCAATCACATACATTACAGTCTAGGTGCCACTTTAACAGGGACATTTTTCCCATACATTCTGCGGTTGGTATATGACAGGATGCTTGCCTGGATGGAGCCCAGCTCTACCTATCCGGATGGACAGCTCGCTTTCATAGTCCAGGTGATGGGTGGGTTCATGCTCATATTTTTCTTTCACCATTCGTGGGTCACAGCTCAAGGCAAAAGCTGCGTGGGGAGGTCCACTGAAACCCTGCAATGCAAGAGAGAAATTTAGGTCTTTCCCACATCTCCCCACCAACGTTCTCCTGGCCTCATCTTCAGAGGCACCTCTGACTTCTGTGTGGTTTGAAAGCTGATAAGGGCATGGCTCATCACATCAGCTTCTCACTGCTTCACAGACACACGTCTTTTGGGTCCCGTCACCCCCCTAACCCCGGTACACAATTAATTACAAAGAACTAAAGTATTTCCAGCAGGAACATCAGTAACAATGGGGTTACCAGGAGCTGTGGGCCAAGGGGGCAGGGGTGCTCAAGAGAGAAAGCCAATACCAAAAAATTCCTGTGCGTTTACAGCAAGAAACAATTCCACAAATACAACACCCTCCAAAATCAACCTGGAGAAGACCAACAGAGTGAGGAAGGACACGTGCTATCATCAGCACTGCTGAGCCATTATCAGAGGGTCGAGCTGCTGGGTTATCGTAACCATTTCAGTATCTTCCCCCAGCACATGAGGAATCCAGGTAGCAAGTGCTCAGATAAATCATCAAGCCCAAATAAGCAGCACACACAACGACGTTTTCATTGTGCTCCAAGAGGGAGATAAGCTTTCACTCGCCTGGAAGTTCGGGCTCAGATCCCGTTGACCTCAGTAGAAATTTATTTTGCACTTGCGTACAATTTGTTCAACGTGGGTTGAGTTTGCAAGGGAAATAGTTCATTCAGAATTGAACCCGTTTCCTCGAGAATCAAATGAGGAACTCTGTTCAGAACCACAGTGTTATTTTAGTGGAACATCTCCAGAGGGCCTGGTCAAACTTCATATGCTAGCACGCCATTTGTAACCTCCAAAAAACAGAGAGAGAAGGCCAAAACCAACAGCGTCCAACTATGGGTAAAGTCTGCAGGGAATCCAAGTAGACTCCCCGGGGTGATAAGGACCGCACCGCTCCCAGGAGGAATTCCTGCCAATCTGGACAAGGTTCATGAAAACCAGCTGCAACTCAAAAAAATGCACCAGAGTCTTTATCTGGACCAGCCAAAAAAACCTGGCAGACACCACTTCTGCCTTCCCCACAGTCTGGAGATACGTGGCAGAAAAGAGAAGTGTTTCTGCACACCCCGCGGGCTGTTTAGCCCTGCTTGATGATAGCTACAAAATTGACAGGAAACAGGTAACTGGTTTGACAGCTGGGAGAAGGCAACGTCCCATGATGGGGACTGACGACCTCGAACGTGCCAGGGGCCGGGCACTGCCACTCGGAAAGGGCATCAGCAGTGTTGGGATGGATGGATGTTCTGGTTTCACCCGGCACCTCTGACCAGGAGCACGGGTTTAGCAGCGAGAGTGATGGCAGCGGAATAAACTAACATATGCTGAACAGCCAGAGACGGTAATGAGAGCCTCGATGAGTAAGGTCACATTAAACAAAAATAAAGGTTAAAGATGAATAACTAAATCATCTATTCTCCCATCATTTGCATAATATAGTCTGACCGGTGCTATTAATACTAATCACATATTTGCTATCTGCTCTCTACTGCAGTTTAATCAGGGTGCTTTCACCTCCATTAACCCAGCAGTTACAAGGTGCACCGCTGAGGCGCTCATGTTTAAATACTCCTTAGAGAAGGCAGAGATCCACGTCACCTCGCCGAGCCTTTCCATGGGGGACACTATGCAACTCTTCATCTGACAAGAGGTAGTTGGAAGAGCAGGTAGAGATATAAGTGTTTTCCAGTGGAAAACTTATCACAAGGAGAAATGCCAGGAACTTCAGCACCCCCTGATTCAGATAAAGCAGGAAAAGATCAAAAATGGAAACTCCTGGGCTCACCCTGCAGTTTGCACTTAGGCATTGTGGTCTTCCTCTACATACACGAAACTACGTAAAAGAAACCAACATGCAGAAAAAAAGAGCCCAGTCCTGCTAAAGCTAAACACGTTTTCAACTCTGGAAAGAGAGCAGCATTACTTGCAAGGAAAACGCTAACCTGAGGAGAACTAAAGATGGGAATTTCCAGCCATACCAGTAAAGCTTCAACTCTGTACGTGCACACAGACAATTTATACATATGGCACAGGAAGGTTCAGCCCTTCTCCGACCTGCAACGGCCTCCCCATTTGCTGCTGCTCTTGCCTTGTTCAGGACTGCAGCGAACGCTACGTGTGGCCCAGCAGAAGGCTCTCCTTCCACATGGCTAGTGCCACCACTTTATTAAACAAGTTACGTAAGCTGGGACAGCAGCTTTGTACACTTCAGCATCACCTGATTTGTAGCCTCCCCTCTGCCCAAAGACAGCTGCCTCTCAGCTCCATGCTGTCAGCACAAAAAAAGGACAAAAGTACAGGCACGACCAGAACCTGCAGGATTCTGCAAATGACAATAATCCAACCAAGGGGAAAAAAGAAATCGCATGTGCAAGCAAAAGCAGGCTGGTAACATTCAGCATATTACCTACGTTATCATTACACAGCTACAGGTGCAAACAGCAAGGTACTTCTGAGGTCAAGACCACTTGCCTCAAAGTTCGCCATAACAATGAAACGCCTCCCATAGCTACTTTCTGTGCTACCACTCTCAGCACATCAAATGCTTCTCAGTGCGGTACCCATGAATCTGCTTACGCATAAATCGAGGCAAACTGGAAGATATTTCAGATGCTTGTTGTAAGGTCAGGTCACCTCCCTGTTGGCAGGCACAAACACGCAACTCCATCAATTTGGAAAAGTATTAGTGACCTTCAGTAAAGCACACGATTTATTCCAACTGTGATTGCTCTGAGTCATTTCAGCCTGGTCCCTGCATGGGTCCCTTAATTGGAATGTGTCCGTCGGTTAAAAAAGCATTAGAAAGAGAAGAGGAAAGTCAACCCACATTAATTAGTTCATACCACTAATTAGCGTTAACTGAAATAACCACGGGGGCTGACTATTTCAGAAAGCCTGATGCAACGAGAGACTTGGGCAGGAAGACCTGTAGAGCTTGGAAGAAAACTATTCTGGGAGACGGGAGTCCCCACCGAGCTTGTTTCTGTTCGCAGAGCTACAACGGAAAGGTCATTAGATTTTCATGGACTCTTGTATAAAGCAGATGAGGAAAACATGATCTCTGTAGACAGCAGAGAACAGTCCTCCTCCCCACATCACCCAACACCCATGCTCAATGGGCAGGTCTTACTTTTGTTACCAAAAAGCTGCACTAATCTGCAGTTAATCTGTATGAAAATACACCCTTCTCCTTCTAGCATCCTAGGCGATCCAGGAATCACCATGACATGGATTTCTGTCTTCTGGTGAAACAGGAGCTAAGAGTGCAAAAACCCTCGGGGAGGCCTGGGGTCCCTCCCCGGGCACCAATGTCCCCTCGGCGGAGGAGAGTCCTTGGTGGGGGCCCTTCGGCAGGTGCCTCCCTGGCTGTGCAGTGCTGTAAGGTCCCCACAGCTCTGACTTGTCACGTTGGCATGCTCAAGAATTGCTCACCAGCACACAAACGTGACCTTTCTAACGACCCTGATCGTCCATCCCCATGCTCCCCTCCAAACTGGTTTCACTGAGCTGTAGAATATTAAATGCCCAATAAATCAAGCAGCTAGTCATTGATTTTCACCTTTAAACAAGGTACATGACCAAGGAGACATCAGAGACCTGGTAAGGGAGGAGGCAGTGGTGGAATAAGCTTGTGCCTTGTGAAAGGTGAATTCAATTTTGGGTGTCAAAACAATAAAAAGCCATGTCACCACAAGTGACAGCAAGGCCCTTGGGAGCACACTCGTGCAGAGGCTTGTAAGCCATCACTGCTGCTCAGGAAAGCTGCCTGCCAAAGACTGCTTAAACTAACTCCCAAGGACCTAACCTGTCCAAGGAGACAGGTTTTGCTTCCCAGGCTAGGTAGATATTTAAATACAAAGTCATCCGCCAGCAGGAGCAGGGCAGAATAAAAGGATGCAGGCAGCAGAGCACGGCGCGTCCGGGCAGGAGCCAGCTCCAGCAAGGGGGAACCACAGCGGGTGAGGAAGAAACGCGTGTTTTGCACTGCTCCGGCCAGACCGCAGACTTGCGGGTTGTTGGTTTTTTGTTTTTTGGGCGGTTTTTTTCCAGATTTAAAGTTTCCTGGAAACAGCACTAAGCCTCTGGCCTTCCCTCTGGTGGTATCAGCAAGCACGTGCCAGCCTTCCTAGCCACCTCATTACAAACCAGAGCGGCGTCCTTGCCACAGCGGCCTCCAGAAAGCCAGCGGTCACCGTTGTAACCTGGTCCCTGCC